TTATACATGGAATAAATTCGCCAGGGATTAGAAAAAAGTAACTTAACGCTAATTTACGGCTCCCTGGAGATTTCGCTCGCTCGCGCGTCCCGGCTCAGGTCAGGCGCGAATCTGCGCTTTGTGACGGCAAAGGGGCGCTGCGAAGCTGCAGCGAAACTGCAACGTCACAGGCTATCAGACAGCAAATAATATGGGATGAACAACAACATAGATTTGTTGGATATTGTGATTATGGTAATGGTATAACGTTAGAAAAAAATGAAAGTGAAGCTAAGGAAGCTTTAGTATTCGTATTAGTCAGTTTAAACGAAAAATGGAAATGGCCCATTGCATATTTTTTCAAGCATTCTATAACTACTCCAATATTAAAGGAATGGATAGAAACCGCTCTAATTTTAACCGCAGAAGTACAAATAAGCGTACGTTCAATAACGTGTGATGGCGACAGCGTAAATTGCTCTGTATTCAGAGAATTAGGATGTAATATTTTTGTAGACAACTTCGCAGATCTTGAAAACTCTTTTTCACATCCAACACTGAATTATAACGTACGGATATTGTTAGATGCATGTCACATGTTAAAATTATGTAGAAATGCTTTAGCCGATTATGGAATTTTTAATTCTGTAGATGGTCAAATAAAATGGTCTTATATACAAAATTTACATAATTTTCAGCAGCAATTAATATTCAAATTTAAAAATAGATTAAATGCACAGTGTATCGAGTGGTGGCAAAATAAAATGAAAGTCCGATATGTTGCTTACTTTAAGTGCTTCTGTAGCTAATGCGATAAAATTTTTGAAAAAAGTTGGTTTAAAAGAGTTTCAAGACTGCGATGCTACGGTAAAATTTATTGAAACAATTGATTGATTGTTTGACGTATTAAATAGTAGAAATCCATTTGGTAAAGGTTTTAAACAACCTCTCACAAAAAATCGTTTAACTTATTTAAAAGAAGTAATCCCTAAAAAGATAAATTATTTATTCAATCTCTCTAGAAGCCAAAGATGGTACAAAATTAATAAAAACAGGAAGAAGAACTTTTATATATGGATTTGCATTAGCGTTAAAATCAATTTTAGAAGTAGCAGAAGATATTTTTAATGAAAGACCTCATTATAAATATCTTCTAACATATAAGTTTTCACAGGATCATGCGGAGATATTATTTGGAAAAATAAGAAGTCGACATGGTTTCAATAATAATCCAAACGTACTGCAATTTAAATATGCCACGAAGCAAATTCTTATGCGTAACGATGATACGATTGGAAAATCACTCTTTATTGAAACGCTTTAACAGACAAAAATCAGAACGTACATTAATTCTTATACCTAACCACAAAGTCCCGAGTAATCGACAAAATGCCCTCGACTCATCGATACCGTCAAAACAGTCCTACCAACTTGCAGCTACAAATAACCTCTAATGCTAAAATCACCACAAACGATATTAAAACAAATAGTACAGGTTTAAATTCTTTGGAATTAGATAATGATCCAACTGTTGCAGTTTTTGATATTGTCTGGAAAAAAAAGAATGAAGATAGATTAATAATTTGTGAAGATATAGATCATTCCGAAAATTTGGAAAATGAGCAGTTGTCTAAAAATCTTGCATTATCACCAACTTTCGATATGCTAAAAGAAAATATAATATTCTATGTAGCGGGATATATTATAAGAAAATTGAAAATATGATAGATTGTTATCATTGTTATGACAGTTTAATACAGAAACAAGAACATAATTATGATCGCGAGTCTTTTTCTGATTTTGTAAAGTACAAGAGGTGGATTACTTTATGCATCCAAAAGTGTTCACAAAATATTATTAGAAACGGAAAAATAAACACAAATCGAAACATTACAATTAACAAACTTACAAACAAAAGGGTTAGATTTTGTTGGGAGAGTATGCACGCAGGGCTGGACTCCTCGTATGAAAGAATGAATGTTTTACACTCGAACAAATAAAGTTTATTGTGGTAACACAAAAAGCAGTATAAATTGAATTGATACACTTGTGATCAGTTCCTGCTACAGAAAAGAAAGTATAAGGACAACGAGCGCAGGAAAAAATAAAAACGTGCAAAGTGCGTGCGTAACAACCAGCGACCTACATCGGAAGAAGCTACTAACTAAAATATGGCGCTACAATCGTAAGGCTCGGTACTTAATAAAGGCGCGAGAATGGCTGCGTTCAGCAGACTCAACAGTTTTGCAACCGTTTTATGATTGTCTGCTGAGATAGGACCATTCTTCTAGATCTAAAAGTATGATCCAATTAGCGCGAAGGAAACTTACAACAGTTGCAAAACAAACGTTCTGCTGAACGCACCCAATTATAAACATATATGCAACAGATTTAAAAGTAATAAATAAAGTTAGACGTGCACTAGTATTAGACAATACAATATTTCCTAATTTGTTATGCGATGACGGGCTATTAGAAACATCATATAAAATAAAATTGATTACAGTAATATCATCTAAATATATAAAAATTAGATTACACAGTTATGCTAAATTTTATGTTGAAAATATTTTGCATCCCAAAAGAAAACGTTATCGTTTAACGAAACAAATTTTATTTTTAAATGAATAGAAATAGAAACAATTATTTATAAATGAACTTGTAAATCTTAATAAGTTTTACAAGTTAATGTATAAATAGTTATTCATTAAAATAATATGAATCATTTAATCTATAAAATATGCTTTTTTTCTTATTGCATGATTTGTGTTTTATAGTATTTAACTCTCAACTATAGCAACGGGTCATTTGAATTCGAGCGAACATTTTCTAACTATAATATCTTCCTTTAGCATTTTATTACAATCTGTATGTGTTGCGAGTTTGAGTTTAAGTCAAACGTCGCGCGCGATGTCGCTGCCGTGCAACCATGGTGTCCTACCACCTGGCGCCAGGGCGGCGCTTCCTGCAGAAGCAGGTGGCGTTGCGACTCCGCCCTTCCTGGGATTTTTCTCTCTCGTTGTTGTATCATGCACGTTGCTCTCGACACATGGCCGGCCATCTTCTCCTTGAGTGCATTTCGGTGTGAAGTACGTCATTCGACGTCCCGTGTCGTACGGCGGTGTAAACTCTGAAGTACGTCATTCGACGTCCCGTGCCGTACGGCGGTATAAACTCTGAAGTACGTCATTCGACGTCCCGTGCCGTACGGCGGTGTAAACTCTGAAGCACGTCATTCGACGTCCCATGCCGTACGGCGGTGTAAACTCTGAAGCACGTCTTATGACGTCCCGTGCCGTACGGCGGTGTAAACTCTGAAGCACGTCTTACGACGTCCCGTGCCTGAGAGGCGGTGTATGGAAGCTCTCCTGTAAGTACGTCTCAGGACTCCCCATCCCCCTTACTGGCGGTGATTAAGGGAACCTCTTATGGAGAGTCTGGCTCCTTATGATATCTTACATTTACTGTATTTCTGATTCTGGCATCTTCGTTAATATTGTATTCATGCATTACTACTGTATTCTTGACAGATAAACCTTTGCCATAAATTCTTTACTTTCGTCTAATTCTTTCTTGGCCTTTCAGATCCACCACTCTCGCCTAAGTGCGAACATTTTGGTCCTTCGAGCCGGATTTATTGGCCAAGACGAAATGAGACTTACCCATGTAGAGGCTCGTTTAGAGCAGCAGGTTACACTCAATAACATGATTGCCAATTCGTATGACAGTTTAACCAAGGTCGGTATGCACAATTTGAATTCTCAAAGGATTAAGGCGCGACTCTCTGCCCTCAAGAATGATTGGGAAAATTTTTCCATCGTTCACGAGGCTCTCAGCATCGCTATAAATGAATTGAATCCTGAGGATAAATTACTCGTTCAAGGTCACTCATACTTTACCGATAGCTTCTTTGTGACTACTCGTGAAATCTATTTAGAGACAACGGAAAGAATGAATTTATTACTGGATACAGTCCATGAATCCTCACAGTCTTTATCCAGCACTTATAGCGCTCACACTCAGGCCGTACAGCCGTGTTAATGTCCACCTAGACTTCCTCGTATAGACCTGCCAAAATTTAATGGCACCCCTGTCGATTGGCTTTCCTTCAAAGATTTGTTTATTTCCTTGGTAACGGTCAACACTTCTATTTCGTCGGTCGAGAAACTACAATACTTAAAAACTAGTTTGGTAGGATCGGCAGCTCATCTATTAAAAAACATGGCAATTACTGACGACAATTTTAATCGAGCTTGGGAAACCCTGGTTGCCTTCTACGAGAATAAGAGGATGCTAGTCAATGCAGCTTTACATTCGTTGCTTAACCTGAAGCGTATGACAAAGGAGTCCGCTATGGAAATGGAACACCTCTATACAACTATCATGCAGATTTACAGATCATTGGAAAGTCTTCATCGACCAGTCGGAAATTGGGACGATTTTCTTGTGTTTCTTGTCGTACAACGGCTCGATTCAGAGTCTGTAAAGGCTTGGGAACATCATTTGGGAGCAACAAGGGACCCACCTACATGGCACCAGCTCACCGATTTTCTAGTAACCCGACTCCGCGCTCTTCAAGCGCTTGATAGAACCCGTCCGGGAAAATACTCTCTATAATCACAACCAACATCAGTCAAGGCTTGCTATCAAGGCAAATCAAATGAAAAAGACTCTAGCAAAGGGCAAGGATGCTCTCTTTGTTCTTCTCAGCATTATACTTCTTCTTGTCCGCAATATACCACAAAATCGCTACAACAAAGATTGGCCCTTGTAACTAAACGTAAATTATGTTTTAACTGCCTGGGAACTCATAGAGTCGCTGTATGCCGAAATTCTAAACGATGTGTTAAGTGCGGGCGCAAGCACCACACCTCGATTCATCTTGGAGTTGTTCAACCTGATAAAGCACTCTCGGAAGACAAGGAGCGAGTCAAACCGGTCTCTTCCACCGTTAAATCTAAAGAAGCCCAGGTCATGCATTCTTCTACTATAACTACGTCTTCTCCCACGCGAGTTTTACTGGCTACCGCAAAGGTACGAGTGACTTCTCCAAATGGATACGTAACGACGGTGAGAGCTTTAATTGACCAAGGATCAGAGATATCACTGATTTCTGAGAGAACAGTACAACGTATGAGAATGCCTCGGACTCGCTCAACAGTGTCCTTGGTTGGCATCGGTGCTAGATCTTCTAATAAAACAAGAGGGGTTATCAGCATGAGCATCAGCCCACACTTCGTATCGGACTTCAGATGCAATGTCTCAGCTCACATACTCACCAGTCTCACATCAGCTCTTCCCTCCCTTTTCATTGACAAGGACTCATGGCCGCATTTGGAAGGATTACAATTGGCCGACTCTCAATTCTATCGACCTGGCTCGATTGATCTCATTTTAGGAGCGGACGTCTACGGACTTATTAAAGCAGAAGGTATTATTAAAGGATCTCCCGACTCTCCAGTGGCGCAGCTTACGAATCTTGGATGGATTGTGTCTGGCCCTACTGGCCATCAGATCGCACCTGAGGACGCTCGGAGTTGTCATATTAAAGCGGAGGAGGATCTATTTCACCTGCTACAAAAATTCTGGGAATTGGAGGAGATTCCTACTTCAGTTGATCATTTGCTTTCACCAGAGGAGCAGGATTGCGAGGATCATTTCCAATCAACTCATTCGAGAGATTCACATGGCCGATATATGGTTAGATTGCCGTTCAAACGATCAATTAACCTCTTGGGAGATTCTAAGCGGAAGGCCACTCTTCTTCTTAATAAATTGAATAAACGCTTTGAACTTGATTCGACCTACTTCAGAATGTACTCTGATTTTATAAAGGAATATGTTACATTACATCATATGGAATTGCTATCAGCTTCGCAACCAGAGATTCCATCCTCTTACTATTTACCCCATCACGGGGTACTGAAGAAAGAACATCTTACTACGAAACTGCGGGTAGTATTTAATGGCTCCAGTAAAACTACTTCCGGCTTTTCCCTCAACGATCTTCTACACGTCGGTTCGAAGTTACGGAGTAATCTATTTGATGTTCTTATATAGTTTAGACAGTTCTGCTACGCCTTTTCCTGGGATATTGAGAAGATTTATTCTAATTGAGCCATATTAACATTTAATTATTTTATATACGCGGGCGAGATAATGCGTTACAATAATTTCCACTTTTCATTTTCATTTATTAGAATCCATTTTGGTTTAGAAGCATGCGAATTTATTAAGAAATATTGTAATTTAATTAAATTAAATATAAAGATTAGAGTTCGTATTAAATTTTTAAAATCATGTATCAAATACAATATAGTACCTCCGCATCTATACAGATTT